CTCACCTAAAAAATCCAATGCGCAGGCTGGAAGGTGGAAAGACCTTCCCCGGTTCTTCGTTCGCGACGAGACTGGCCATTAAACTTTCCAGCCACTCTGCCCCCAACTTGTAGCAGTGCAGGGGGTTATTGTGGCCAAAGAACAGAGGGGGTCGGCAAACACTGTTAGGGAACAGTGGAGCTTCCAGCCCCCAGCAACAACCTCCAGGCCTGGTGGGGGTTCCCCTTTGACACTGTGTGCCCTGAGCAGGCGGCAGATGGTCACCCTCTCCTGCTGAAACCAGTGTCATGGGAAAACCCTGGGCCACACAGTGCTTCTGTGGCCAAGAGGGGCCGTCTGTGGGGACAGCTCAGAGCCATCCAGGCACTGCGAAACTCACTGGGGGTAGAGTGCCCAACGGAAAACATACAAAGGACAAGAAGAATCATGATTAGCACTTAAAACTCCCCAAATAACAATAATAAAAAACTCCAGTATAATCCAGTGATCACAGCATGCTCATGCCCTTCATCCATCAGTCTTCTCCTGCAGGACCTGAAGATATTACTCTACTCTCTTTTTTCTTAGTTCTGTTTAAATGACATTTGAAATCTATTTTTTTACATTAGAAGTGACAACTGAGAGGAGGACTCATTAATGCCTATAAGTATCTAAAGGTGGGGGTTGCCAAGAAGATGGAGCCAGACTCCTCTCCGTGATGCCAAGCAATAGGACAAGAGGCAACAGGCAGAAACTGAATCACAGAAAGTTCCACCAGAAGTGGAGAAAGAGCTTTCTGACTGTGCAGGTGGCCACTCACTAGAACAAATTGCCCAGAGAGGTTGTGGAGTCTCCCTCATCAGAGATATTACAGAACTATCTGGACACAATCCTATGCCATGTGCTCAGGGATGGCCACGCTTCAGCCGGGGGCCGGGACCAGATGACCCACTGTGGTCCCTTCCAACCTTACCCATTCCGTGATTCTGTGATTTTGTGATTCTGTGGTGTGAAGTATCCCTGGTGTCCAGGCCAGCTGCCACAGGCCCTGTTGAGGTGGGAAGAGGCCCCACTAGACCAGGGTTTAGTGCTCGGGACTGACCTGCATGCTCCAGGGCACGGCACCAGGGGGGTGCCATCTTTCTGGCCAGTTAAACGCCAGAAAGATGATGAAAACCAGATGGTGTTACCAGGCCTGATGTCGCCAGAGGCAACTGGGAAGCCTGGCTCATGTGACAGAGCCTGTGTCGGGTGTAGAGGCACGGAGGGGGAACACTGAAGAGAACAAGAACTTCCCCTGTTAAGGAATGGGAAGTGTAGGCAGAGCAGCAGGAAAACCTATGTGACGTGGAGATTTCGCCTCCTGAAATAGTGTCCTTGGGGAAAATGTTGGAAACCCTACACCTGCATGTTTTACAGTGAGACCAGTGAAAACACTACAGGAACACTACACTGTTAGAGGACAATGTTAGCAATTGCCAAGGAGAACAACTGGACGATTTGGAGAGCCTGTCTGTCTGTAACTTGTAGCCCTATGCACTTCAGTGCTCTGCCGAGCTATGTTCCAATCAGTACACATCCCCACACCCAGAGATTTTAGCTCAAGCCAGTGACTGTGAATGAAATAGTTAACGGAAGCAAAATTACCCCTATAAATTAATATTTGAGATTTTTTGATCCCTAATGCCCACAAACATTAAATACATACTGCCCGTTCCTTAATGCTTTGTTAATAAAGCAAGGATTACCTATTGTCTCCTTTAAAATATGTCCCATCTCATATATTCATGAAAGTTTTTATTATTGCAAAGGGAGCAAGATCGTTACTGAAGATCACAGTTGCACTATTACATGTACTTACGGTTTCTCTCATCAATCAAAATGTACTTTGGCAGCCGTTGGGCAGCAGCAGGGAGAGCAGCAGCTGCAGTGGCTGCTCCAGCTCCACCTCATGCCTGTCGGATGAAGTATTTCCTGCCCTGTCTTTCAGGATTTCTTCTGTAAAATGGCGCTAATGATTTTAAAATATTTTGAGCCCCACTGACGAAAAATCTATGTAAAAACTGCATGTCATTTTTATCTGTCATTTCCTGTCACCATAACTTAACGTTTACTCAGCCAATCAAGAGGGAAATTGTGATAGGAATACTGTTTCAATAAATAATAAATAAAAGCAATTAGGGCAGTTTATTTTGGTTTGAAAGCCTGAAAGTCAAAAAGAAAAAGCTCTGCTTGGCCATATGGGGCAAAGCATTCAGCAAGACACATTTTCAAAAACTGAGCTGTATATAGCCTGGGCATTTATAGATAATTCCTAGAACTGGTAGCATTAATAAAATGTTCACTGCCTTAATTCCATCTCAAGAGTGTTTCTGTCCTACATACATAGCCCTGTGATTTGTGGAAGTTGGCAGGTCATTAAAGGTTCGCTCTGTTGTTGTTTCCGAGCAAGAGAAAACAAATTCGCATGTGATAAATGAAACTGGCCAGACTCATCACAGTGAATTGCAGAGGGCTGCCACTCTAAAAGACTGGTCTAAATGTTTGCTCAGCCCAAGAAAGGCAATGGCTAAGTACTTCTGCAGCTCCTTGAGGCTGTGGACAGGACAGGGCTACTATTAGATCCAGCACAGTGACTGTGACACTGGGTCTACCCCACAGATTTTTATTTTTGTCCCCTGAAAGGCAGGATTGTAACGTGTCCTTGCGAGGTAATGCCTCATCCTGCCCATCCCACGTGATCACAATGCTCTTGGAGTCTTGTGAAGGACTGACACAGCTATATGGCACTCCAGAAAGACCTGTAAGACAAATTATGATTCAGAACAAAACTATCCTAGGGCAACGAAGAACCTGGTTTGGCGGTGTGTTTTTTTGGTTTTTTGTGTTATTTTTTTTTTCCCCCAGGATATGCCTTATTGCTGAAAGCCTTTACACTGCTTCATCTCTACTGGCAAACATACCTGAGCGGATCCCTTCTGAATTCCCCAGGATGGCTGCCACCATGAGGCAGTTGACTGACGGGGGAAAGGGCCTGGGGGAGGTACTGTTAATCTCCTTGCCTTCCAGTAAAGTGGTGCCTTCATATTCTCTTTGCATTTCTTTCCTTATCAGAGTCCTTCTCCTCTCCCAAATCACCAAGGGCCTCACCTTCACCACACACTCATCATGCTGCTGGAGATTGGTGCTTGCTGCAGCCACCGTGTTCCAAATGGACGGAGCTGCTGCCAGTACCACAGGGCCATCAGAGCCAGCTTGCACTGAGCAGGCAGTGTGGAGAGGTAACTGTGACACTTAGGGCAGGTGTCCAACTTCAGTGTCACAAGGCAATATTTAGTACTTCTTTTTACGGCTGCTGCATTTTATCACTGCTCAGAGGGAGAACTCCTGACCCTGTTTGTTCCCCCCTTTTCTCTCTTTCTCTCTCTGAGGAAATGCTACCAAGCAGGTCATGCCTTTTTGAATTCTAATGCAAAAAAACACATTTCAACTGTCATTTAATCCAAGCTGGGAAACAAGAGAGTGTAGTATCAGCTTCAGACCCTGCAGGAGAAAACTGATAGATGGAAGCATGAGCATGCTGTGATCACTGGATTATACTGGGGGTTTTTATTATTGTTATTTGGGGAGTTTTAACTGCTGATTGTGATTCTTCTTGTCCTTTCTGGTATGTGTTCTGTTGGGCACAGAAATCCTATCTTTGGTTATCTCTGAGGCTGGTTATATTTAGACTTCAGAGCTGGTATGCTCACAATGTGGCCCAGTCTCAAAGCCACCACCTATCTACACTGGAGCTGGGACAGGCTACCCACTCAACAGTCTCTGTGTCCATCAGCCTTTGCTCACAGGGCACTGATGCCCACACTGCCCTAGCAGGGAGTCAGGATATGGCCAGGATGCACATCAGGACCAAGGAGATGGGATGCATCTCTGGGTCCCAGGGATTGACCAGAGTTTACCTTTGAGAAGGGGATCTGATATTATGTTCACATCTGCTACTGTCAGTTTTATGACAGTTCCTTCAGAGCCTGCCCTTCAGTGAACTTGATTACATAGAGTTTCAGCTAGAAACTATTTAAACTCAACTGTAGTTAAACAAAAGCTAAATGAAAGTTAATGACCATATAAGCAGCTGGTTCTGGAAAAACCTTGTGACAGACACTTGAGAAATGCCCTTTAGTCACTGGAAGGTATTTCCCAAGGTCTTCTTGGGATGTTCTGTGTCTGTGTCAGCAGATGAAAATAGTCTATATTTCTGTAGCCACAGGTGATTAGGAATTGCTCCCACAGTGTAATTTAAACCTACTAGGCTTCTCCCTGGATGGGGTCAAGTGAGCACAGAGAGACCCTTGCATGTTTGATTTTATATGACTGAATAAGATCTGCTTCATTTGTGCTTTGTCAGGGCTAAAAAACTTGGGTCCCTATAGAAAGCATAATTTACACTCACACTGCTTGTCTGGGTTCAGCTTCTTTCCTGAATTGCAAAAGGCAGCAGTTGCTGTGTTACACTGAGCTCTGGGTAAGCACAGACTTTTTGGACACAAAGAATGGGAAGCCTCCAAATGATGCAAATGGCCTAAAGTTCAGCAGTGATAAAAGGTTAATCTAAATTTTCTCACAACTCTGCCACTATCTTTTTACCATAATTAATATCAAACGAAAGTTTCTGTTCTGGGATCAGCTGCTGCTTAGCTTACCTCGCAGCAGAGCATACTAAGGCCTCATTCATTCGCACTATAACTTAGGTGGTACTGACCAGTTGGGAAATGCTGACAGATTTGCATCCTGTTCTGCTCCATTTAGGAGCTGATGTTCACTGACTTGCAATAACAGTATGTTTGCACAGTGCCTTTAAGTCCAAAATATTTGAGTTTTACATGACTTAAGGGTGGTCATTTCTATCAGCCTTGAAGTGCAGTGACTTCAGGGTTGGAATGTGGCAGCCAGTAACCAGCACACACTATATAATAGCATATTGTGTGAATATCTTATCCATATGAAAGTGCAAACAGAATTTGAGGAGGCAGGTATTTGATTTAGAAACCAGGCTAACCTCCCTAAGCCTTACCCTAGCTACAAGACATTCAATACCCATAAATAAACAAGCCCCAAGCTGACCCCTCTTTTGTAGCACAGTCTTTCCCCCAGCAATGTGCCAGAGTAGGGCTTTGCTGCTGCAGACCCTCTGAGGCTCCTGCTGAGCCCCCCAGCAACCACCTCGGAGCATCTGACCCTCCGAGGTGCCGCTGAGCCTCTTTGTCCCAAATTGTGTCCCAACACAATGGGGATACAGCTGTCTGCCTGCCAGAGTTAATGAGCATAGAGGGTAGGCCTTCAATTACCTTCTTTATCAGACATATTTCTCAAAAAGCTTTACAGGAAAAAGAGGTATTCTGCTCCTTATTTTATACAGAAGGAGGCTGGAGGCTAAAATGCAAGGAAATTAGTAATTTGTGGAAGATTACAGAGCAGATAATCGACAGAGCTCAGAATCAAGCTTAGCTCACCAGCCTCACACCCCTCTACCACTTTGTGCATCTAAAAAGGCACAACTTAAAATCCAACACTTTTTAACTTTCATAGTAAAGAAGCAGTTCTGCTGCAGCTTTCTGTTTGACTTCTTTTGGCTTTGCATCAAACCAATCTGGCTGTGTTCTTATTTTATACTTACTACAACCCTAAGGAGGTTCTTTTATGTGTGGGCGCCATAGAAATTAAGTTTTAAGCTACAGTTTAGGGGGATCAAATTTTTGGATACAAAATTCCCAGAAAATCTAAAATACTGAAACCTAGATCTTATAAAAAAAAGGGGGAGGAAGGAAATCTAACGGTCACTTCTCTGCTATCGCTATATGGTCCCAGTCCAATAGGAACTGCTGGCTCCAACCAGGCTGCCAGAGGTCTGGAGTGCTGGGACAAAAGGCCAAAAAACATCTTTTTTCCATCCAGACAAAATTTTAGGTGGAAAAAGAAGGACATATCCAGGGACACACAGATAAATAGTAGCCCTAGCAGTGCCAGCTTTTCTGCTCCCAAAATTGTTTACACCCACAAAATTTATTGTGGTGCCAAACCACAAGGAGAGTTGTGACTCCCTTAAATGTGTGGTCTTTATCTGAAAGGACAAATAAAGTAATTTTGAATTGTTAGGCACATTAACAATGCCTGAGGGTGTCATATACAAATAGCCAACACCTTTAAGCACTGATGCAATAAGGATGGACAAGAACATGGGGTGAGGGTGGTGGGAGGGTCTTTTTTAGATGTATCCAAGGTAGAACAAGTTTTATTACTGAGCTAGAAACATGTAGTATCCCAGGAGTGAATAGCTCACACATTTGATCCAATCCTGGGCTCAGTCCAGCTCCCACTGAAGTTTAATGGGAGTTGGATCAGGCCACTGCACTCACATTTTTTCCATGCATGGAAAACTATTTCCGTTACTTTGAATTACAATACCACTGGCTTTGGATTTTATATAATAAAATAAATCTAGGCCACTGTTTATATTCCAAAAAACTGCATTCTGGGATGCCAGCAAATATATTGCCTGTTGGATTAAAAAAAATAAAATAAAAACTGGACACGGTTTTAAAAAAACAGCAGCTCTTAATTATCAAGCATAATTTTTCTTCCTTGTGCTTTTCTGGAGTTCTCAAATATTTGAAGTATGAAAGGTACATATAAATTCTTCTCTGGTGGTTGAAATGGTGGAATCTGTAAAACTGCAATGTTTTATAAGAAACAGAAGTTTAATATAAAAATAATAATCTTCACAACTGGCTCTTTGCTTATTGGCATATTTTGTGCATTTTAAAATTCACAGGGAAAAAAAACCCAACACCCTTGGAATGTCAGTAACAAAGGGGATGTATATTAGCAAACCCTTAAATTTTGGGAACTGGCTCCTCTTGATTGTTCTGACTGCAAATGAACTCTGCAGATGCTGAGAGGCACAGGAAATGTGCTAGAAACAGCATTTGTTCCTTGCTTTATGAATTGGATTCTACTGAAATCCCAATGTGGTAAGACTGATTAGCAGACTTTGGTAATGCCTTCTGCCCCAGTACAATTTTATTATAGTCTTTTATTACCAAGGGGAAAAAAAAAAAACAAACCACAGAAAAGACGTCCATCGGTGACCATACACCCACATTCTGGGAGCAAATGCCTCTGTGGTGAGCTTATGCTGGTGAAGGGCATGGCCCCCTGGACTCTGAAATACAGAGCAGCAAAATAAAAGGCACCTCACCAAAAGAATAAAACAAAAAGCACACGTATACACAAGCAAGAGAGGGAAAGAAATGTCACTGGGGGGCGTTTAATGTTAAAGAGAAACTGTACAACTGGCATGGCGGTGAGGAGGATTTAATAGAGCTGAACAAGGTGCCCACCTGCATCCACTTCAAAGAGGAAAACCAGCAGTGGTAGTGCTTATGCAGTCATGTGCATGTGTGTGTGCGTAACGCTTCTTTCTACTGACAAAATATACTTTGCAAATATCCCTGGGCACCGGCAGCTTTTCTTCTCTATTGACAAATTCAGTTTCAGCACGGGATTAAGGAAAAGAAGAAAAAAAATTTCCCTCACACACAGAGCCATGTAGTCTGAGCTGGACAGATTTCCCTCGGCCCAGGTGGTACAGAAGAGGTGCTGGCTCCATGGGGACTCTCAGGCTGTGCGCTGGTTAGCCACAGGCTGCACCTTCCTTCTTCACAACAGATGGTGGTAAACCTTCCTCCACCCCATTGTGGTCTGGGGAGCATCCAGGAATGGTTTACAGGACTGCAGATTTTAAGCCATACTGTGGTAGGGGAGCCTTGGCTAACCTTCCTTCCAGTGTGACAAAGCCCTTTAGACAGACCAAGAATTGGTTCCAAATTCCCCAGCGCAGGGTTTGAAACTGAAATAACTAGGACTCACTCACGTCTGGCTGTAATTTCCGATGTGCAACAACTATGCAAAACGCTGAGATTTACTGATGAGAGAGCAAGAAGAACCCACTCTTCTTCTTCTTGCTGGCTTGCCTTCTGTAATGAAATAACGTGTGCCTGTGTGCTTTGCCAGCACCTCCTCAGCCTCTTCACCCTGACTGAAACAATCCAAGGGGAGATGCACCCAAAGACAAACTCTCCAGCAGAACTGGAGGAATGTCAAACCAGCTGGCCTGATGGGGGAGATTTCAAAACCAAAATGTCTCTTAAATAAGCTTCTTTAATTATTATCATCATCTGTTTATTTATACAAATATAAAATATATTTATATAGATTTATATAATATAGATTTGTTGCTTTGGTGGCTCCTTTCATTTACAGACATACTGGTCAACGATCTCTGTGCACTTTTTACACTTGACATAACAGCACCAATGGAACTTGCAGTGGCAACGCTCCACCTGGACGCTCTTGAACTGGTCATAGCCCCGTCCGCAGCACATCAGCTCGCACCCATCCATGCCCTCTGAGGTCTTGTTGCACAGCCGGCCCTGGGTGCCCAGGGAGCCAGTGGTCTCGTTGCGCAGGCAATAGTCCGGGCTGGGGTCAACGTAGACCAGGTCCTCTTGCGTGGGCATGTTGAACCGGTTGTTCACCAGCTCCAGCTTCCCCTTACGGCTGATCCTCATGGCAGCGGCGCTGTCGTACTTCTCCTTCAGCAGGTCGCCCACCTTGCGGAAGTCAGCCAGCTGCAGCCAGCAGGTCTTGAGGCTGCAGGAGCCCGACACGCCGTGGCACTTGCAGGCCACGTCTGCCAGCTTGTACACGGCCTGTGGGAAAAGAAACACAATCAGGCAGAGCTGCATTTATTCCTGCTGCACTGGCAGCTGGCTTAAGTACAATGAATTCATCGTGCTTTCAGAACTGCTTTGATTACCCCGCAATTTCTGTTGTTTCGCCCTTCAGAAGAGACAAAGGTCTTCTCCCTGTTGCGACTGCTCTGTTCCCGTTCCCTAAATATTTCTATTTCTGGTCACACTGCCTGCAAACAAGGCTTCCTCACCCCACCTTCTTTCCCTCTGGCAGACTGCTGGCTTGAGAGCAGGGTCATGAGAAGGTAAAAAAAAGGAAGAGTCCTCTTAGGGTGGACCTTGGAAATTCCCCATCTCAGAGACCACAGCACTGTGGCATGTTTTTCCCTTCAGCACTGCGGAAAGGGAACACCTGGGAACGAGCCCATTTCCTACCACACGCCCCAGGAACCAAGGCTATCACTTGTAGGGATACATCTGCATCCTTTGGAAACAAATCCACAGACCCACACCCTTTCCCTTCATCTCTGCTGAGAGCAGCTTGTCCAGCAGCAGTGTCCAAAGAGGAGCAGGCAAGGATGATGGTGCCAAGGATGGACACATCCACCCTGGAACGGAGCAGTTTAGCTCTGCTGGAGGTGTTAACCAGGCGCCCTCCTGGAGCAGCAGGGCTGAGCCGGGAGCCCTCACTGTGGACCTGCGCCATCTTGTGCCCACACGTCTCCCTCCACTAGCAGGGCTGTCGCCAGGCAGAAAAGCCTAGATTTTAACAGCAAACACAAGCTCTATGTGCTGTCTTTTCCCAGATGCTTTCAGCTACGTTTTCAGGAGCCTGCGGGGGCTGTAGATGCATCATACCCCTGAAAACCTGGCATCAAAGTTAGCAAAGAGTCCTGAAAATTCAGGGCAGCGAGCGTTAAACCCTCCGCAGAACAAGTACAACATGTAAAGGTAGACAGTGGTTACTCTCCTCCTCTCCACACTAGCTGGGAGGAGAGTGAAATACCGAAAAATATTCTACAATAACAAAGCTGAAAACCATGGAAAATAAACTGAAATGCAAGTTGGGTTTGTTCTTTCGATCAGTTTCAGAGACAGGTACAAAACCGCACGCTACATGAGATCCTGTCAGCTCTCAGGCACTGACAGAGCTTGCAAAGCAAAGAGCTGGCATCTCCACACCATCATGTTATAGGGACTGACCCCCCAGCCCTTGCTCCTCATCCTCTTACCTGCAGGTTCACATCTGCTCTCCCAAGGCCATTCTTGCAGGGCCTTTGCCAGATCCCACAGGCCAAGCAAAGGTGTTTGGCATCAGCTGCAAAATTGCCACCAGCTGTATTTGGCGGGGGAGATCAAGGAACATGAGAAAAAAATAGGGTGCTCTGAAGGATGGCAATGTGTCTCCTAGCCAGGTTTTCTGCTGAAAAAAGCAGCCAAACACAGAGGTTTCTTTTCTGCCTCTCTCACTGACAGGAGAAAGCTTCACAGCTCTCTGCTTTCACGTGCCAAGGACTAGGTGATTAAGGCAATTGAGCATAGTGCAAGCAAAACCTTCTGCCTGTGACTACATTCTGGACCAGCAGCAAGAGGTCAGAGTTCTACAACAATTGGTTGCTCCTGGCCTAACTAAGGTCTAGTGCTTTTGACAGCTAGTGAAGATTCAATTTGGCTTAATGGCTAAATCACATGGAGGCCAATCCACCTCCTGAGAAAGTCAATGGAGTGAGTCCTTAAAACAGAAAAGCTTCAGTTCTGCTCCTCAGAGCTCAATTTACTGAGGCAATCCCTCACGGTGCAATGTTACAGGGCAATGTAACAGCTGTAACAAGCTGGGAGTTAAGCACTTGCCGTGGATCAAACTACAACTGCAGAGGACCAACCACACCGTTATTTAAGGATTCCTGCTGTACTGTAACCAGACAGAGCTACAGCTGCATTTCCCGCGCACCAGACACTTACTATATCCTCACTGCATTGCCAGCCTGCTTGTTATAAGCTTGTGTTAGCACTTTCTGGTTATGGTTCTGTCAAATCCCAGGCCACTTGTGCCCCCCTTGCCCTTACAAGTGTTTTTATAAAGTATTATGATTCTTCCTAATCCTAGGCTTTGTTCCTTTAGAAAAACACTGCAACTCAATCCCTCTCAGTTAATGTCATGGGACTGAGTTCACTCCGCCTTGGCTTTAAGCAACTGATGCTCAAAACATCTGGCCCATGTGGGTAGTAGCTGTGCTGGGGAACAGAATGCTACCAGTTATCACAGGTAAGCACGGCGCCACTCAGCCCCCACAGCTCCCACCATCAATGTCCTGTGGAGGTAACCATAGCTTCAGCTGCTAAATGACTCTACACTCTCCCCCTTTGCTGCCCGGATGGGGAGCAAGCAGAGGAAATTGGAGAATTCCTCCCTGACCAGGCTCAGGTCAAGGTAAAGAATAACAGACCCCACATGCAGTTCTGAGGGCATGCCACTTAAACAGGTTGAAAATGCCTCTAATGGAAAGGCTTAGAGCTCCTTCCCATAAGCCCAAGTTCTCTTCCAATTCTTTTCTTGCAAGAATGAGAACAGGAAGAGGATTAATGGGTAATTCCTATGTGGTCAATTAGCCAGACCCCCTTCCAGGCTCTTCTGGCTCTGGCTCGAGTGACTGATGACTGAGGTCTGCCATATGCTGACTGGATAAACAGCATGGAAGGACTGACCATCCCAGTCTGCCAGACACAGCGACAGATAAGGAATGGGGGAAATAGGAGAGGGTAATGGAGACCAATTGGAAGAAATAGACAGATGGAAGGAAAGGACATATTGAGATAACAGCCAAAGACAAACAAACAAGAGCAATAAAGCCAGAAGCCACCACCACAAGCACTCCAGTGTGGAGTGAAGGGGTGATGGGGTCAGGACTGCCTGAAAGATAAAAGGCCTCTGATCCCCTCCCATCACCCCCCCCCCAGCTCCTCTGAGAACCATGGAGAGAAGGGACAACCTTCTCTCCTGCCACCAGAGCTCCTCAGGGTTCGAGGAGAACTTTCTCACTCATACGAAACTGAGTGAAGGGACACGCCAAAAATCTGCCTATAAATAAGAAGGCATTGACTAAAACATTGGCTGGGAAAGTGGGGCATCCCTTTGTGGTGGGATGGCACCTGGTGGCCACTCTGCAGTGCTCACTGCCAGGTCTCCAGTACTCCTTTCCTTCAGCATCAACTTTTGGGAGTATGGAGTTACATATGCACCTTCCTACTTCCAGAATCTCAGAAGTTTAGGACTGCAGAACTAGACAGGTTATTAAGTATGATCTCCTGCTATTGTAGGCACTGCTTCAAATAACATTTTCCCTAAATGCATACAGTGCCCTTTTAAAAGCAATTAGGTTTTCAGCCACCGTTATTCTGATCACTATTCCAATGATAAAATATCTTTTTCTGATTTCCAGTCTAAATGTATTCACTTTATGCCCATTTGCTATTGTGCCAAATTGGCCTTTTGCTTAAAAAGTACTTTTCCTCCCCTATTATTTCTCCCATGAACACAGACATCAGTCAGATCCTCTCTCAACTTTCACTTTAGTAGGCTAAATATGGCAAGCTGGTCTAGCCCACTTTCTTAAGAAAAGATTCCTATCCCTTGGGTTAGCCATAACAAGCCTTTTCTAGTCTGAGGTCATTTTACTTGGGAATATGAGAATGTACAATATTGTGGGGCCTCACGAGAGCTTAATACAATGGCATTAGTATTCCCCCATGTTTTATAAAGAGGCTTTCCCTAGTACATTATAGGATATTTACCACCTTCCGAGCCACATTACATCTGCAGCTGACTGCACTCATTTCCTAATGACTAAAACCATATTTCCTACAAGGCCTCAAATGATGGGTTTAATGTTGTTTTATTAGATGTCATTAGCTGCTACAAAATTCAGATTCTCCTCTGCCACCTTTGCATCATCATCAATGTTTGCGTTGAGGCTGAGAAACAAAAACATTCAGGCAAGTCCTTGCTGAGCTCTGCTAAACAAGCTCTGCTAAGATCAAGATACATCCTCTCACAACTTACTGATATCCTTCCTTGAACCAGTTTCTTGTCCATCTCATAGCTGCTGCATTTTTCCTTATATTTTGCAATTTAACAAAGAATTTTCCATGTGGGAAACACCTTAAATGTTTCACAGAAGTCCAGATAAATGAGACCTATCAGATCTAGTCTGCTTTTTAGGAAATCAGTCATGTTCTAAATGACTGTGTGATCAATCTTTGAAAAAGTCTTCTCAAGTTATTTCCCATTTTGCCTGTTTCTCTGAGATATCCTTTCCCCCATGTCCACTTGTAAACGAAGCCAAGATCACCAGTGCCAGCTCTTTCAGAGTGCCAGGAAAGAAAGTGAGCACTCCCTGAGACTTGAGAGGTTTATGCCACCTGAGTTTCGCATCCACCCTGGTGGCAATAATTTCCACCTCCAGCCTTGTTCCTTTGCTCCCATGCCAAGATGCTTTTAAGAGCCCAGAGGAAAGGCTGCCCTGTACTGGCCAAATATCAGCCTGACCAGACAACCCTGGAACATCTAGCAATGATTTCTGAGAGCCTCCTATGAAAGGATCTGGAGATGAGATCTGAGATGGCTCTGAGACGAGATCTCAGAGATCTGAGATCTCCATCCTTTCATATTCATCTCCTTTCCCAATCCTAGTATCTCCTTTCCTCACTACCCCCAAATACTCATCCACTCAATCCACCCCAAAGCCCTAGCCAAAATTTCTCCAGAGCCCTCCCCTCTTCCAGCCCTTTGCTGCCACCTGACTCTCATCTGTCCCGATCCCAAACTCCCCTTCCTCAGCAGTGCCCTGCACCATCCCACCCATCTCACATCTCAGTATTTGCTGCTCAACTCCTCTACCTGTCTGAACTTGACAGCTGCCTCCTCATGCCTTCCTCACTCCCACAGGGAGCACCATCAGCTACTGCCTACTCTGGTAGACTTTGCCTGCCCCTGTGGCACCTGCCTGGCTTCCCCCAAAAAATACAGTCCCAGAGGTATTTAAAAACCTAAACTTCAACTACTTATTCCCGCTACACAGAGGTGTTGAGGACAGAGACATCTCCACTGTGCAGCAGACACACAGCATCCCTCTCCAGGAGCAATGTCCCACACTCCAAATTGGAAGCCCCAGGTAAAGCACTCACTTACTTATGGGACCAAAACTTCTCTGCCTTTAGACTCAGCCCCATCCTCATTGACTATGTCTCCCTTTTTCCAATCTCCCCCAGTCTGCAAAGTTTAAAAAACTTTTGCTGTTTATTTTACTGCCTTCTCAAGGTCTGACTCTGCATGATTTTTACTGTTCTCACTTCATCTTTACACTTCTTGACCTCTAAGACAGAAGTTTTCATTATTTATTTGCTATCAGTTCTTTTTTTTTTTTTTTCCACTCTTAGTAGGCTCTTGGTCTATTCCTAATAGCTTCTCAGTGGCAGTTATTCATTCAGTGAGGTCTGGTTATTCTTCCTACAAGCTTTCTCCTCTTGCTTGGCATGCAGACCTGTAATGGCTTTAGCATCTTTGACTTGAAAATGTTCCAGACCTCCTCCACATCGAGTTCCTCGGCTCAGGTTATTAACCGGCTCCCTTAGTTTATCAGAGTTTTTTTTGAAATCCACAAGCTTAATTACACACTGGTTCATACTACTATTTAATTTAATCTGAAATGACTTGTGTTCATTTAGTCTAAGGTTATTTTCTACAGCCATCTGTTCTACAGAGTCTACAAAACCCAGCCTTGAAATAACACTGTCTTTTGCTGGCCCCTATGGAAAGCTTTTGTCCAGGTCCTGGGTTAACTGGAGACACAGAAATCACCTTGAAGAGCTTGTCTATAGAGTCCAAAGAAGCAAGGCACCATAGCATTCTGGGCACAATTTAAACAACTTTCTGCGCTGTAGTAAAGGCAGGAAATAACTGCCTTTAACTCTGTCCCTAAAGCAGGACAGAGCTATATTTCATCTGTAGCATCACCCGAAATCACAGCTCAGCAAGAATCTTGCCTATATGACAAGAATAACATGACAGGCAGTATTTTACCTGTGGCATGGAGCAAGAATCTTCTGACTTGATCTTCTAATACAAATATTACTGCAGCTCAACTGGCACCTCAGGTTATTTGCCATATTCTGTCTCTGGATCCCCCAAGGCAATAGGGCTGGCTGTAAAGTCTCATAACATACTCGCTCCCTATTTTAGGCAGGGTATTTATTTGTAGTAATCCAAGTTTATGACTCCAGACATCTAAGACATTCAAAGCAAGTAATGCAGAAAAGAATGTCATGTTCAGGCTACTACTCCACCACACCTTGCATTTCTAAGGAAATGCAGACCCCTCTACCCTTCCAAGCCAAAAAAAAAAAAGCCCAATCCCAAACCAAAACCTTCCGAGTTCTACAATTTTCAAGTCCGTTTTTTTCATCTACTGCAAATTTACCACAATTTGATTTTGCAAAAGAACTGTGGAGTACTTGCAATGCTTCAACCTGACACACTGATTTCACAATCAAAAAAACAGAGCACATCATCTTTGGTGGCAAAATGAAGTTGAAATTACATGCAGAAAAGACAAACATCCATGGGAAAGGGAGAGACAATTCAGTAACAATTAGAAGCAAGAAATGGCAAAAAATTGATAAGGGAACTAAGGATATTAGTTACGAATGTGCAAAAAAGCAAGACTAAGTACACTTAATAGGATTTTTTAACATGCTTTAGAAACAAAAATAACCTTAGAAAAGCTTACTTCTACGAAGAATGACAAAAACTTAAAACACCCTGGGGAAAACACACAAATGTTGGAGTAAGTATTCCTGTTCTACTTTTGGAAAGAGGCAGGATTACATGGCTGTACAGCACATGGAGGATGCTACACCTTCCAGGCTATTAATCACAAACAGAGCAATTGTGTAAGAAGCAGAAGTGCATGCACTGAATGCATACAAAAGCGGTGTGGGGAAAATGGAAAGGGTACACTAAATTGACAGGAAAATGATTTGATGGCTGATGAGAACCTCTGAAAGTGAGAGAGTTTTCAGTGCTCTATCTAATTTGTCAAAAAAGAATGGTGAATAAATTACAGTAGATAAAGACTTGTATGCAGAGGAAATTCTGATTACTAAGAGGCTTTTGGATTTAGCTGTAAAAGTCAGAAAAAGAACTGATTAGAAGCTGGTGCCAGATAAATTCAAATGATAATGAGGTACAGCATTGAAACAGGGTGATTAATGATGGTGCCACACTACAAAGGGAAGAGATGGATTCTCCATCCCTAGGGGTCTCCAGATCAAAACTGTGAATCTTCTCAGAAAATATCTGTCACCTAGAATCAAATTATTATTTTGCCCAATAGCAAGGCAACTGATTCAGGCCCAAGTTCCAGAAATAGCCAGGTAGCCTGATTCAGTGTTTGCTTCTGGCCCTATGTTCCCAAAAATCTAAATGATGGTAGCAGAAGAGAACTCCAGATGCCAAAATACTATTCTTTTCACCAGCCTGTCACTTCCAGAGCTCTGGAAGGCTGATTTCTGAGACATTAACTCTAAAAATGGGCCGTAACAGCACCTAGTTTATTGGGAAAGGGCTTACATGTCTGCACGTGTGCCATACAGTATCTCACCAGACCCCAAAATTCACTGGTTTTTAGCTGGCAATGGAAGCCTGACATTAAAACTGGAATATATCATTGCCAATATTGTCTGTAATATGCAGAAAAAGTGGCCATACACTGTTACAGGGGTATCACTGGATACCATCTCTCATCACACCTCCAAGTAATCTGGTTTCCAGCTATCTCCAGCCTTCTGACTCTGCCTCTGAAAAAAAGGAGAGGGTCAGTGTCCGTCTTACCCTGCGACCAGCCTCGTTGTTCTGCAAGTTCATCAGCATGCGGGCCTGCTCCTCTGAACCCCTCACATAGTTCTTCTCCCTCTCCTTGGCATCCACGAATTCCTTGGCAAAACGATATCCGTACTCCACGTTATCGCCGCAGCCGCCCCACAGCCAGTCTCGGGGCAAGTCCTTGGGCCGGGCTGTGCGGCTGCAGCCACAGCTGGAGAGCTCTCCCTCACGGCAGGCCCGGCTGATGGCGTTCACCACCCCGGCCGCACTGACAGCGTAGGTGAAGGCGGTCTCTCTGCTCCCTGAGAGAGAGGTGAGAGAGACAAATTAACCACGGACAGACCTCATTCAACATGCAGCACGCAGCAAGGAACAGGGCCTGGACACCTATGTTTGAACATTTAAGAGCCCTGGGAACTGCAGGCCTTCGCCAAAAGAAATAGAAACACCATAGGCAGGGACTGCTCAGCCTCCTTCCTCTTCAACTATGCTTTCATTTTAACCTGGAAGAAACTCTCAAACAGCAAGAGGGTTATTCACTTGCTGAAAAATACAGCTGCTGCCTAAGCACTGCATTTGGCAATAATCACTGAGAACAAGAAACGAGGTTGGGCCTGTGCGAAAGAAACATTCTGGTTAAGCCAGTTATCACCTGGAAAGGTTTTCATTTAATTGGGACAAGCAGTCTTTACTATGGGCTCCTCAGTTCATCGACCTTATTTTGGTTTACATAAGGTCAGATGAAAATTGTTTGGAGACAAACTGAAGGAAACTCCTTTTTACACTCCAGCATCCAGGCAGAGGCTCTCCCAGTGCCTACAGAACCGCAGTGCTGGAACAAGTAAAACTTTCCCATGTAGACAATAATAAATGAAAAGACTTTCCATTAGCAGGTTTACTAGAGACTGCCCTGCTTGGCATGTATGCCCTACACAGCATCTGAGCCAAGCAGCTGGATCGGGTCTCCAGCTATGTATTCCTGGCAGTGATTCAGCCCCAGTGTGACCGGGGCACCATCACAGCCAGAACACTGCATGAGGCCAAGCACCAGGAGTGCCGTGGGTCTGAAGAGGGGGAGTAGAGAGGGAATGGGGAGGAGAAGGAGGCAATCCACACCTGCACTCTCACCACACGGTCTAATAGCCAAACCAACACCTTCAGAGTCATTGTGTTCATCACCAAACTTTCAGGTGATAAAGAGTACAACTGCCAAAGCTTCATTAGAATAAGCAATCTAATTGTGAAGAGCTACTTACAGCAAACCTCAAGCAAATTTGAATGACTTCAGAGGGCAGAGCTTCCAAGAATACTTAGTTTGTCACCAGCCCAGGAGGCTCTCAGTGCCAGCAGGGCTGAGCTGATGCTTTCGGTATGCTCTTGTTCCAATTTGCACCTGCAGACAATTTGTAACTAATAGCAGCTTATCACCAACTTAGTGGTAATGACCCAAGACAAAGGCAGAGATGTGAATGGCATCCACCTTGCAGAACAACTTGTGATTCCCCCCACCCCAAATGAGATTTGAACACCGTGGTTTCTTCTCTGGAGTACAGCACAAGGCTGATAAAATGCTACAGGACACATAATATAGAAAGGAGGGCCTTACTAGCAGGTCGTAAGGAGAGGACTATGCCCCCCTAAATCTCGCTGGTCTGAGAGGTATAGAGGAGTGACTCCTAGTTAAGGTAATTCAGCTGAGACTGGCCCATAAAGGAGTTTATTTTTCAGTAACCAAAAATCAAGCTTTTACTCATCTAGTTTGTTCCGCATATTATGTTTTTTTGAAGATAACAGTCCAGTGTGCAGTTTTGCCCCTACCCATCTGTGCCTGTATAGAAAGAGCCCTGCAGACACGTCCAGTTAAGTAGAGCCCTCCCTTGTCTATAGGGATTAAAATACAGGCAAGGAAAGGACCTCACGCTGTTACAGCTCGTGCAACTGTGTTCTCACGACTCCAAGTGCTTAGCATCCTTACAGCTGGATTGAGATCTCTGAAAGCACAGACTGGATTTACACTTTTACTGTCCATGTTTTAACCATCTCCACCTGTCAGCTGTAGCAGCACAACTTAATGTGCAGCCCCTGGATCTGCACGAGTTGCTTAGACAGCTGGAGGATGGTGGTGGGAGAGGCTGAAACAAGTCACAGCAGGGTGGGGCTTTTTCCCTGGTGATGCCCGCAAAGCGGAACAAACCACAGTGCTCACTAGACTTTGGTAGGTTTGGAAGACCATGGCTTGGCCTGGGAGGCAGGATCAGATGTGATAAAAGCCTGTGCTAATACAAACCAAATTTGTAGCTGACAACTGAGGGCTTATACATCCAAGTTTTCTCTTCTCTCCTGCCGTGCCTTCCAGCCTTTGAAAAGTATTTGGGCTTGTGCTCGTCCTCTCCAAGTTCATTCCACTTCCACACCTCTGTGCTGTTGTCTCACAGGACTGGGGTGTCCCCCAAATTTGTTCTGCCCTTTTCCACACCTCTGCTGAGCTCTCCCGAGCGCTGGATCAGAGTCACCCCGGGCTGCCGGGGCCGATGGCGGGGGCTGCGGGCCCCGGGAGGTTCTGCCCGCCGGCGTGGAGCTCCACGGAGCTCTGCTGCCCTCCTGTGCCCGCCCGCCGCCGGCAGCAGGGCGGGGAGCCCGGGGCTGCGGCGGCTCTCGGGTAGCACAAGGCGGGATGCGGCCTGGGCAGCACCCAGGCAAGGGCTCGGACCCCGCGGCTCCCTTCCCTGGAGCTGCTCGAGAAGGAAATGGGAGAACGGACCCCACTGGGGAGACTAACACAAAGATGGTAGAAATGCATCAGTTTGACTTTTTTGATGAAAAAGACTTAGCTTTGACTGATTTTTTAGAAAAGCATTACCCTAAAGTTTGGCAATCTTGAAAAAAAAAAAAAAAGAAAAAATATTTCTCTTTGTTCTCTGGTTTTATGACTCTTTTTTTTTTTTTTTCTTTTTTTTTAGCATTTGAAAAGGCTGAAGAGATAAGATCTCTGGCTCCAGAAATGACTGGACTAACCTGGAAACCCCAGCCTTGCATTTAGGATTACTCAGAGGGAGATCTGTTTCCTCCTCCCCTGAGGAAATTCTAACATGACCTTTTGGGGGGCTCTTGTCCTCTCCCCCTCATAAATGTAGCAGTAAGGAATGTCTGTATATAATGCATAGAGATACATATACAAACACATGTGCAGTCTAAAAATCTGCATTGACAGAACAAGAAGTAGCTTCAGAAAAATAATTTTTGTACATTAGATGTAATTATTGAATAAACCACATTTAAAAGGTAAGAGTAACTCTCATGACAACACAAACAGTAGGAGGAACCCATGCTGAAAAGCAGCCTACTTCAGTGCTGTGGATGCCCCTTCAAAAGCTTGGTATCACTGGACTGCCTCACCTCTGTGGAACACAGAAAATGAGGGTGTAATGATTAAACACAGACTGACTGGGTCTCCTGTTTCTGAGTCAAGCCAAGTTCTGCAAGGGGGAAAGGAAACTAATCTTCCAGGTTTCTGAGTGAACGCTCTTGCGAGGATCTCCCAGGCTTTGGACTTGGCCAGGTCAGGTTCTCTTCCCCTTTCACAATCTAGAGCTTCTCAAGAAATCATGTAATATATGCCATGCCTGCATCGGTGGGTGGGCAACCGAGGGCTGCTGGCACATTACACACCTTCTGGGTCCTTCTTATCTCCTTTCCCCTCCCTCTCCACAACAATCTGGCATGCCTGCGCACTCTTGCAGATATTCTGGTCTCCAGACCTTTCTCGTGCCATTGGCACAGAGTACAGAAAAAGGGTTGTGGTCCAGATTTGGGGCTCAGAGGTTGAAAGCAGGAGACAGACACACAGTATGAACCCAGGGAAGAATGACTTTATAGCTGACACAACGTGAGAGATTGAAAGGCTTTGTCTTCTTCCCCAGTGTGGAAAACAGATTTGCTGAAATGATAAGCAATGACTCACTACAAAGTAGGAAAATGCAAAAGTAGGAGGTGGAACTGAGAGGCAGTGCAGCAGCTTATCACTGACACAGGCAACAGCGATGAATCATGGATCCCCTAATACCCCAGGCCACCTTGGGTGACAGTTTTCTTACTGCTATGCTGTCTTCTGCCGGAGTATAAACATCTGAACATACTCTAACTGCCCAGAGAATCCAAAGGAGATGGGTTCAAAACTCTGTTAGGACAGGTTTTTAAACAGTGGGCAACTGCTGGCAGTCACCTCACAGACACTGCCATCAGCAGATTCCTAATAGAGATACAGCAGGACTCAGCAAACAAATGCAGCACACACAAACCAAGCAGGACTTCTGGTCATACCTGCCACATACCCACAACACCTACTGCCTTCATCAAAACCCAAATCTACTCCCAGTCTAAACAAATAGGATCAAATTAATTTTAGAGAGGAGAAATCTTCCCACTTCCACTACCCACTCTAGTCCCTTCTTCCTCTACACACTCTGATCTTTCCTGACAGCTTCTCATCCTTCAGCTCTGATCTTTGCTTTCTCTTAGTTCACCCTTTCTTTTCCAGGTGTGGACTTTACCACTGGACCAACCCAGGGTTGCAAGAAGATACTGAAGAAGAGAATGAGGTTTGCTCCAGAAGGAGAGATTGCTATTTTCTTGCATCCCTGTGAAGTCACTAGTATCTTTTTGGGGATCTGAAATTCACCCCGTTCTTTAGGGTAAGTTATGTGTGAGGGAAGGTCACCAGAAAGGAGAGATGGAGGTGTATTTTCCGTCCTTTCCATTTGGTGGCTGAAATTTCAGTTTTCATACCCCAAAGCACAAGTTTTAACAATCTGGGATTGCAGGCAGCCCCATCTGGCCACCACCCTTGCTATCAGAAAGTGAGAGATCAAGGATGCACAGATGCCTTGGATGTGTGTCAGGAACTAGAAGTATCTGTCAGGAAATGGCATTTCCCAGGGGAGTACCCCAGAGAAGAATTGTTGGAGTATGAGCTAGGCAGAAAGGGAAGAGTTAGAATGGCTCTGGGTGGGCTCAATTAGGAATTCTGAAAGGTTAAATAACACATGCAGAAATATCCATAGAATTCTCTAACATGTAAGAATTTCAGGATCAAAGGGAAGGGATCACAGGACTTGGTGCCCTATCACCTTGACGCCCCAGAAGTATTAAAGATGCACCTCTTGGTGTCTTGCTGCCTATGTAGTTTTTTTTGAGAGTGAAGCCAAAAAAAAGTGCGAGCGATGTGGGGGCAGCCGGGGGTTCAGGAGCTGAAGGTGTTTTTCCATCCCTTGCTAAGTGTTTTACTTGAGTTCACAACCGGGAAATAGTGCTGGTTCTTCAGCGTAAATGATTGGCTTTGTGGGTGGGAAAGAAAACCTCTTCAGACAGGGGTGTGGAGAGTGAGTGCGAGTGTGTGTGTGTGTGTGTGTGTGTCTGTTTTAACACCTTTTCTTTATTGTCCTGGCTGTCGGACACATCAAAACGAGCCCGGATTTCTCAGTTTCTTGCCATCAGATGATTGCATTTCAAAAGGAGCTGGGACAATGTAGCTAGGTCACACCTCAATTCAAGTGCAGCAATGTCAATGTGCCTCTTACGGCCAGCAGGGCAGGAATTATAAAAATCGCTTAGGTTTACACAGTAAGTGGCAATACAAGGAAGGGGGGGGAATTCCCATGCCAGGGGAGCCCATATTTCCCACATCTCAGGGCTGCATTCCCTGTCCCAGGGTACTCAAGATGCTGGTAAGGATAACACAAGCCATTGTTCCTGGCTCCAGTTTTTTCTCCTCACTACCTATAAACAACCACTCAAAGACGCCCTGCTCTTCCTGACCGTCCTGTGCTTCCCCAAAAAGAAACTGCGTTCCCCTCGCCCCCCGCTGGCTCCTGCTGTGGCTCAGAGGCACTGGTGCCACCCGCCCAGGCACAGGCCGCGCGCAGGCAGCACTCGGGCAGCACCAGCACACCAGGGAATGGAAAAGCTCGTTAAACGCAGCTTTAGGAGCTGTACTAATGGGGCTCATCACTGCTGCATATGTATTTGAAGGAAGCGAGAGAGGTGCAGAGGGACACCGGGCCTGCATCCAGCATGTCCCTGAACTACCAGGTGTACTACTGTTCTACCAGGTGTTCCTACCTATTTTCATGACCCTCCCAAAGACGGAGGTGTTGTCCACCGTGCTGCAGTTCCACCGCCGCTGCCGAAACTGGTACTGGCACTCCTTGATGGCGCTGCGGGCCCCTTCCCCGATGAACACCATGTGCTCCTGGTAGAGCTGGCAGAGCTTGCGCTGCCCAGGCGAGAGCCCCGGCAGCTGGCTACACACCGGCTGAGCGCCGATGATGTACATCTCAGGTCTCTGGATGGGGTTCATGGCCAAAGACCTACGATGAGAAAAACATCCCAGGGAGTCTAGAGGGAGAGGCCTCCTCCACGAAGCGCCCGGCACCTCTCCCCGCCAGCCCAGCCCAGCCCAGCCCGGAGCCCGGGCGCATTTCTCATGTCAGCTGCCTCCCTCCACGGCTTTGCCAGATGCGAGGCTTTTCCAGGGCTCTAGCGGGAGAAACACAGCTCGTTTGTAAGCCGAGTTTAAACACAGAGGACACCCGGGATGGGGAGGGGGCAGAGAGAAAGCTCAGCACTTTCTCTGAAGAAGAAAGCGAGTAGCTTTTCTACAGAGCGCCAGTGAGCGATGCCTGCCTTCCAGCCAGGCTATTTTCCGCTCTTCAGGAGAAGGGAGCTCCGCGGCTGCTCCCAGGGCTTTTGGCAGCGGGTAGGAAACCTTACCCATCCACTCCCTACGCATTCCCCACATCCTAAAGCCCGGACGGCATTTGAGCGAGCCCGTACAAAAGGAGCCCAGAAGTGCCTGGAAGGAGAGGGGCTGCGTCCCACGTCTCCAGAAACTGGGCAGGGACAGTGGGAGGGGTGGTGGTGGGGAACCTGGAAAGAAGCGAGCTGCTGCGAAAGAAGCCCGGGAGGCAGGGAAGTTCCCGCGGAGAGCGCAGGGCAGGGAGCTGCCGCACCGCCCCGGACGGTCCCCGGTCCCCGGCCCTCGGCGGACAAAGGCACCGCCGGCTCCCCTCACTTACCACCAGGAGTTGGCGTCGGCCACCGGCGAGGTGCAGCTGCAGAGGAGCGCGGCGGCGAGGGCCAGCCTCGGCCCGGTCATGGTGGGCTGCGGGGACAGCCCCCGCCGAGCCGGCCGCCGGGACGGGGCGCCCTGCGGAGAAGTGCCGAGGAGAAGCCCTGGAGCGGGGCCTGCGTGCGGCGGGGGCGCGGCGAGCACAGCCCGACTGCCGCCCCCTCCCACCCCGCAGGACCCTCCCCCGGCCGCCGCCTCCCGGGGGCTCCGGCGGCGGCCCTGCCTCCCGCCCGCCCCCGGCCCCGGGGCAGGGGCCGCGCTGCCGGGGCTCCGCCGGCACCGACGGAGCCTCCGCGTCCCGCCTCGGCTGAGCGCGGGGCTCTTCTCGCCCCGACGGGCGTCCAGAGGGGCTCCCCGGGCCGCCCCCGCCCGTGGCGCGCCCGCCAGTGCCGGGTACCCCGCGGCCGCAGGTGTGCGGGAGCCGGCGGGGCACACATCAAAGCGCCGCGCTGGCCCCGCTGCCTTTGTAATGCAGAGTCGGCTCGGAAATGAGCTGTGCCCCCTCCCCAAAACGGCCTCCCGAGGGGCCTCACGCCACGGCCCCGGCCCCGCGCCCCGGGTGGGGGCCTGCGAGGCTCTTTCGGGCCGCCGGCTACGAGCGCAGATAGGGCTGGCACCGGAGTCTAATGGCTTTATGGGCAGGGAAGGTGGACAGGAGAAAAGCTTCAAAGGCTCTTCTTGTCCAAACAACCTCTCCCTTCCCCACTCGACCCACCGGGAACCTCAAAGGCGGGGGCAATCCAGCAGCTCCCCAGCCCTGTCTCCCCCAGACACCGGCAGAAGGCAAACCAAGGCATCCCACACTGTGCTGATACTTGTAACAGATGCTCCTCACACCCTGCCTGGAAACAGCCACCTTGTCACGCCATCCTCACCACTGCTGCTGCCTCCATCTCTACGTGGCTTCCCACTGTCCCATCCTACCCTGCTCTGCATGGTCTCCACCACTATGCCATGGAAAGGTGCCCCCCCTTCCTGTCCCACACAGTGTCCACACTAGGCCCAGTGTCCCCCCAACTCTGCCCTGCAGCAGTGGCTCCTCAAAGGCAGGCTGAGCTTGCAGGTCCGCCCCAGGCTGTGGCCACGGTGTTTGTGGTCCAAGATGTGCAAGTGCCCAGCCTTTCAGTCTGCCTCACGAGCAGCACCCGAGACATGAATCACCAGACTCGGCAGCTCAGACCGCTGAAGTATATTTTTTATCAAATTCCTCGCACCCGCCACGGTGGACTTGCTGTGTTTGTTTGCAGCACGCTTCGCTTCCTCCCCCATCCAGATGTGCTGTACCTGCAGCTGGTGGCCCATCTCACCTGGCAGGCAGATGTGGGGCTGCAAGTGCCAAAATTAGCCTCAGGACAAAAAAGCCTTGTGTGACCCAGAACCTCGGTGGGAGGGGAGTTTTACTGCCTGGGCACAGCAGGATCCACGTCTGAAGAAAACAGGGTGACTTTATTCACATCTTCTATATCCTCCCTTCTCCTCCTCCCACAGCCCCGAGCATGACGGAGGGATGCCGAGGTGTATGTGTGTGTAGCCACGCATACATGTTTTGGGTCTGTTTCTATAGGGAATAGACAGAATGGAAAGTTTATCTCCATGAGTCTGGGGAGGAAGGAAGTTGTGTATGGATGAATGGCTTTTCCATGACAAACAATGAGTCTGCACAGACATGGTGTGATGTCACCTAAAGAATTTCCAAGCCAGCCTCAGATACAGAAAACCTTTTCGCTGGCAGAGATGAGAGCCTCCCACCTTTCCATCTCACCACAGCCAGAAGGAAGAACTAGGGCAGGGGGAAAAAAATAAAAGCCCACGCTGTCTCACACACACACAAGGCATGCACCATGTAAATAGATGACATGATGGGAGAAGTGCATCTCCAAGCTTTGCCCTCACCAAATCTCCTTGCGGATTCTGAGAAAGGAGTAAACCATGGCGAGCCGCCCGAGTGCCTCTCCCAGCCAGGAATGTGAGACGGCACCAGCCGATGAGGCAGTTCCACAAATACAGGTGATGTCAATGTCCGTGTTCATGTGAGCTTCTCCAAGCGCACATGTGCCATCGCAGCACTCCATGGGACAACACGGAGACACCACCACGCAGCACTGCACTGGTGGTCCAGCACCAGCACCGTGGCATGCTGGAAACGAAAACCTTTCCAGCCTGGGAGCTGCTCATATGAAACTTGGGTCAGAAACACACGGCATTAATTAAATATCTCATTTTAAGTATTAATATGCACAGGCAGCCGATGATTAACAACAGCAAAATGTTGTGAACACTGCTAGTAGCAACCTGACTGCCAACAAGCACAAGCAAGGCAATGATCTTATTTTGAAACATGAGCATAAGTATTGCCGTATGGGATAAGATCGCTTATCCAGCCAACCTAATATCCTGTCAAAGGCAGCAACTAAAGCAGCTGCTTCATCGGGAAAGGTCCGAAACTCTGGATTCTACCTAAAATCTGCTGCTAGTGAAAGTGACTGCCACGGAGCTCAGATGTGAATTATGGAAGTGAGTCCTTTTCAAGGTGCTGGAAATAATTTCTTCACTGTCTGTGTTTATGACTTCAGATAAAGTGATAATAGCAGGTGAGGCATTGCTGGAGGGATTTAGCCTCAGCCAGCAACTTCCAGACCGAAAGCTGCAAAGCACTTGGCTGGTGGTCCGAAGAATATGGTCTATCCCTTTGCCTTACGCCTGTTTCTACTTGCCACCAAAATCTTGAAAGCAAGTTTTTGATATTGTAAATAAAAAGCTTGGGTTATTTTTTAAGCCCGACTGCAGGGCTGGTTCAAACAGCTTTGTGAGGTTGTTTGCCAAAGCAGGGCTGGGTGGGAAAAGTCAGTGAAATTTTGTGAGGATGAGAGCTGGGGTGGAGCAGGGCTGCTGGTGGGCTAGGACGAACAGAGTCAGTGCAGCATTAGGTAGGACAGCCCAACCTCACCACAGGCACACCACCCTTCCTGGCCATCATTCCTGTCCACCCTTCACCACCCAAGTGACTCCCACCCCAAACCCCTCCCCTGCAGTAGCCCACTCACATGAACTCAGACCACTTTTGCTACCCTAGGGGATGAAGGAGCAGCAGAAAGAACTCAGAGACCAGAGGTTGCTCTTGCTTCTTGTGGAAAAAGGCCCCCTCCCCACCCCTTCCAGTGGGCTTGGATCACTCAAACAGCAGAACTGAACACTGGCTTGAGCACTGCATGTCTGATGCTTGCACACAGACTGCTGAGGATCACCTGGGCCAAGTAGGAAGCTGTTGCCTGAAAATGGGACATGAATCTCAACCCTCAGACTAAGGTCTAATGCTCCCTTCTCAGAGGGCAGTGCAGCAGTAGCAAGCCTGCATCTTCATACAGCCTTGGCATTCTGCTGCATTCAACAGTCTGCTGCCCTAGGCAACTGTCTACTGTGTTGGCTGGCTGCCTAAAATTAGTACCTGTGTTCGCCTTTGTTCACTTTTCAGGGGTGACAACTGTGCACGAAGCATAAATTTACACATCCAGTTTCCAAAGTCACGGCAAAGAAGTTGGAGAGCTATCACTGCTTTCCCAGTACCGTCCCTGCCGTGTTTGCTGGAGGGAAGCTGCAAGACTCCAAGAAAGGGAGGTCATGTCCATGAGATCATTTGCAAAGATTTGGCAGACCGTGAAAAAAGTTGAACCCTGGCTGGAAGACAGCCCTGGTAAATGAGAAAAGGAGAGTTACTCATGTAAATTCCTTGTCCTACCCTTATTGTTTTTCAAAATTTTGGGATGTCCCCAAGTGTGACATAGATTCTTATCGAGTGCTATAAGAAGCGTTGAAAGAAAACATGTCTTCCACATAACTCAAATGATCCTCATTTGTGCAAGTTTTCTGGTTTCTGCCAGGCTGGGGAGAACTGGACATACATTCTTCCTTTAATGACCAAGAGCGTCTTTCAAGTTCCTGTTTATTCTTGCAACTCGACTGTAGTGCAACGCTTGTTTTTAATGCCTTGCAATGTCCAGTGCATCCAGAAATATTTACTGCTCTAAGTCACTTACTCAAGATGTGAAAAATATTCATGAAGTAGAGTCTCCTCTGCTTAAGGAGCCAGTAGAGATGCATTGCCCAGTGTCATGGTTTAACCCCAGCCAGCAACTAAGCACCACACAGCCTCTCGTTCACTCTCCCCCAGTGGGATGGGGGAGACAATCAGAAGAGTAAAAGAGAAAACCCATGGGTTCAGATAAAGACAGTTTAACAGGTAAAGCAAAAGCAGTCAAAAGGACATGAGCAAAGCAAAACAAGGAATTCATACACCACTTCCCATGGGCAGGCAGCTGTTCAGCCATCTCCAGGAAAGCAGCAGTCTATTGCATGTTACTTGGGATGTCAGATACCACAACTTGAATGTCCCCTCTTCTTCCCACAGCCTATATTGCTGAGCACAACATCATATGGTCTGGGGTATCCCTTGGGTCATTTGGGATCAGCTGTCCTGGCTTTGTTCCCTCCCAAGTCCTTGTGCACCCCCAGCCCACTCGCTGGTGGGGTGGGGTGAGAGGCGGAGAAAGCCTTGACTCTGTGCAAGCCCTGCTCAGCAATAATCAAAACATCCCTGAGTTATCAACACTGTTTTCAACACAAATCCAAAACACAGCCCCATACCAGCTACTATGACGAAAATTACTTCAGCCAAAACCAGCACACCTGGGAAGGAGGGTTTCCATGTGCTGCTCAAAAGGGAATCCCTGCCCTTTGGTTCTGTGCCATGGACCTGCTGTTGACAGCACCAAGAGATGTATCATAACATCCTGCTATACATCTGCTTCTGGCAGCCTACCTTGGTTTTAACCACATTTCTTACTAAGATTTCAGGAATCTCATTAAAGTCACATACTTGCCCATTCAGCTGAACCAGTTTTAGAGGGAGTGTAGATAAAAAAAAAAAAAAAAAAAAAAAAANAAAGAAATCACTTAAAGCTAAATTGCAGTCTTCACACAGAAACCTAAATCATCTTTTATCTCACCACTCCCTGACTTGTCTGGTTCTGTGCTGCTCCCCTGCT